TTTGGTGATGCAGTTCTTCAGACATCATGACATTTCGCATGCAACCTTATCAATGATTAGTCATCTGCATTGGTTTTCATCGGAGAGTTATTTCGATAAGTATTCGTGCCTAATTATTGATAATGGTGATATGAGTGGTATTCATGGCAATGGCTACAATGACTGTTATAATATTATTGAAATGAATTATTAGCAATAGTAACAACACATCAATAGAAAAGCGCCATTGATAATAAAGTGTTCTGGTAGTGAAAACATTGCAGCAGTATTGGCAATAACAACGATGTTAAAAATAATGATGATGAAGAATCCTAATGCCGCAGCAGTAATGATAGACAAACCTGTACAGCAGCGAAATTTTGAGTTGTAAACTCGCAATGCATTCTAATTACTGAACAAATTATTAAGTGAAATATACTTATCGTCATTAGCACATTATTCTTTCTACCATTAAAGGTATCATTCTTTTGTTGACAACAATCTGTTCATCGTTATGATCAGTGATGACTCACTGATATCCGAGCATTTGGTTGTGCTGCATCATCAATGTTATTATTGTTATTTCTACTAGTGTCATCTTTGTTTTATCATCACTGAACTGATCACGACTGATGATATCACTATTGGTAGCGTAAACCTTTCACTGTTTTTGTTATCACCATTATAAAGCACATCAGTTCAATGTAAATATCGTAGGTGCGTTAAGAAAGTACCTGTTTTCATGTTTTCGTAACCACAATTTGATTCAATTGTACTTTTGAAAGTTCTCGTCAAGTAGGACGAACAAACGTTCCAACATCCTCGATTTCGTTGTCTTCGAAGACGGAACTCTCATTCGTCATCCGTTTATCACCTTCACTATCTTCGTATGTGCTCACTGGAACGTGCATTTCGCCGTTTCTCAAATTCTTCAAAAGTTCCTTTCATGCATTTGATTACGTATGGGAACAATTTTTTTTTGTTGTTTTCGAATTCAATCAATTTGCAGCTCTCGTAACTGATTACTTCAAATTAAATTTCTCTTCTCGCATTCTGAATGAAATTTTTGGAGAGGCGTCAATCGAACAAACACCCCAAAAACATGACGTTTTTGAAAGAACGCCTTTCTGATCATCATTATTTATATACTTGTTCGTTTATTCATTTCGACTCAAACCTATCGTCACTGAACTCATTTCATCGGAGCGATGTACCAGCGAGATTGCGATATGTTTCGGAATTTGAATCTCCACGGCTGGTTCTTGAATTATTATAGCTTGAATTTTTCAGCTTTCACTGTTTCCTTCCTCTGATGAATTGGCACGTTTTTTGGCATTCAGTTATCCAGCAGCTTCAGCAAATCTATGATTAATCAGCGAGTATCATTTTCAAATCTTCCGCAGTTCAATCAGCATTATTCAGATTATCCGTTTGTTTCATTGTTGACGTATTTCAATGTTTTCACAATTTGCAAACTGTTCATTTTTTGACGGCCGATGCCCATCAAATTTCATGTTTTCACTCGAAGGTTATGTAAGTAATTGCATCTTACATGAAGGTTTTGCGCATAAGAAAACGTTCAGAGAGGTGTGACCGGGTGATATAATGCTGGAAAATGGAAATTGCAATTGGCTTTTGATGAATTTCCAGTCAAATCCCATCACAGACTCCAAAATTTTTTCATGCAGTTGAAATGCGCACATAAAATCCCATTGCGATAGCTGTAAAGGAAGATTTCAAGGAATAATGTACTGAAAAGCCATTTGATGGTTTTAATGCAAAAGTGAAGTTCGGTTTTTAGCCACAAAAAAGTCCACGTTAAGATTTCAATAGGTGATTTTCTAATTATACCGGATTTCCTCTAGTCGCATCAGAACCAGATTTTGATACCCGATTTCTACTCCCAAATTCATGACCACTGATTAAGCTTGCTGAATAATACTCATTCAGTGCTTCGCACTTATTACGTTGAGACGTTTGCTGTGTTCCGTCGATAATTGCGTGTTTATGCGATAAACGTTCGTAAATGAATGCAATTTCAGAGTGTTTGTTTGTGAATCATTTGCGAAAGGATCTGTATTGAGGCAAGCAAATGTTGATCGAGGCGACGCCATCATTCACAACGAAACAGCTGGAAGCGATTTCGTATCTTCGCGAGAATGTACGTTTGAAAGTTGCACTTACTCTCTGGCAATAATGCGAAGTGCCATAACAATGTGATCGGATGTTTTCGAGCTGTCTGTTCACCTTGTATGGAACTGCAGCACAATTCGATGACTTTACCATTATCTGCTGGATTCACACAAATTCAGCCCGAGGCTTTCCCTCAGACTTGTGCTTCGGCGCAGTCTTGTGAGGGACTAAATTATAATACATCCATCGTACTACAAGCTGTACCCAAGCCCGAGTTCGATGGTTGTTTGTAAACGTTTTCGCTGCTGAAGAAACAAACAAGTGAAATTCTGAAATTGTTTAGCGCTCATACTTCACTCCAAAGTACAAATCGAAATTTAGCCTTGGTTCTGTGCAAAGAACATGCAATTTCAAGCTATTTATCGGTTTATAATTATTTATTTATTTGCTATTCACACCAACAATTAAAATTTTCGTGAATCACTCAATTAATTTTCAAAAGGAGTGGTTGCTTCTTGATGCGTCAGTGATAGTGTGGTTATATTATTAATGATAGTGACAATAACACTGATGATACTTATGATTCCATTAACAGCACTAATAGTGATCATTTCATCAATCAAGCAGGTCATCATCTCATCGATCAACCGTTATCAACATCAGCTGTATGCCGAACACGGGTACGCGTTTGCCATACAGTTGATGTTGATAACGGCAACGATATTGACCAGATCATCTGCACCATACCTGACCTTGACAGAATTATTGTTGCATTGAGTGCGGTTATCTGAATGATGATGAAATTGTCTTCGCTGAGGGACTATTTCTCTTGAAATGTTTGAACAAACAACTTATATCGACCGATAAATGAAGTTATCACAGTCGCAAACCTGATTCAGCGAACTTGTTCTGATTGATGAACATCAAGTATACAATTTCTTACTGGTACATCTTGAGAGTGTTTCATGAGGAGACAGAGTGAGCATAAAAATTTGATTAGTTATTGTTGGAACTTCATTAACTGCCAGAAAATTTTGCAATTTCTATCAAGTTTCTATCATTTTGCAATTGGAACAATTTCATCCGACCTAACATGCGTCTTTTGACATCGACTATGTTCATTTAACTCGTTGATTAGTCACCATTTCATGCGTATTCGGAGGAATTGGCGCTTTTCGCATTCTATCAAAATGTAGTGATCTTTGGTTGGAACGGATAAGGCCTGATCTGGTTCTGCCTGTGCCAAGGATCGCACGTGTAATGAAATAATTTACACAATTCAAAAACTGACATTCCGATTCACAGTCCGGATTTTCGATCATCTCTATGCAAATAAAATCTTTTGAATCTTACGGTAGATCATTATCGGTGTCCCACTTATTATACACCTTCTCTCCCACAAAAATCTCAATCTTCTTATTTGCCTTCTAGCAGCTTTTTCTCCATTTAATGTCTATTTGACGTTTTCCATTCGTTTTTTTCTGCTTTCCTGGTCTGCGATTCATTATTCTCAAACCACCCGCCTTTTAGCATTCCATTCTTCCAAGTCAACAATTTATAGCCACAATCATAATCTTCTCATAGGAACTGCATATTTCATTCTGAAGCAAAAGTGATTCTTTATTCATTTCAAAACGCACTGATATTTTTTGCAAGAAATATTAGTGACAGCATTTCGAATTCATCAAATGCTCACTCTGCTCAGATTCAGCATCGAGAAATATGGAAATGCATCAAAGATTGTGTTCAAATGATTGTCTTCACCATCTTGAGCGACCGGTTCATTAGGGGCACCAATGCTGATTAGAACGTTTGCATGTTGCATTGCCGACAGATTCGGCCGGAGGAAGAGATGGCAAGGCAGGAAAATGATGAAACGAATAAACAAATCTCAAAGTGATTGACTTGTAAGAAAATATTGGAAAATGAAAGTGACATAAAATTAATCAATCACCAAATTGCATCAGATATTTCCATAAAAACAGTGAATGAAGGTTATGTAGTGTGTGTATCGTTAAGATGTGTTACATTTCAAAGACAGTCCGTGTTTCAGGCGAAAGATTTTCTTCGACCCTCATACGACACTGACTACAACCTGTTGCGATGGGCTCAAGTAAGCGATTTTTTGTCGATGGATTAGCGAATTTCTTATCGAATTTCATTGAATGCTTTTGTGGAGTAAGTCGAATTTGAAATCATTGGCAATGAAGTTGTCAGAAATCAGTGGTCAAATCACGCAACTGATCATAATTTCAATATCACTTTGGGTGTTGCTGTTATTCCGTGATGATGATATTTAGAAGTTGTCTCTAATTGCAGGGTTACAACTTCAACCTCGACGAGGCGTTATCATATCTGATTCGACATTTGAAATTTCGAGAATTCTATGATCTTGACAATATTGATAAATTACGCGATGATAAAATACTGAAACAATATTTTCCGCTCGGTTTAGTTGGTTCGTTTTAAGTTGCACGTTTATCGCGGAGAATCCGAATCCATTTGGATGATGACATTAATTGCTAAGACTGGATTTTAGGTAAAACAGGTAAGGATAATCATTTGTTGGTGGTTGAATGTGCTGGTCGCATTGATCTCTATGGAATATTACACAGTGTTCAACTGAACGTTTTCTTATCACAACGGTTCAAATTTCAAGAAAATATGCTTAAAGAAATCAACAAAATGGAATCAATCCATAAAACACAGGTACGATTGAAAATGCTAAACATATTTAGTCGTTATGGTTCACCTCTAAATGTATGCAACATTAAGCTGGCAGCTTCTTTCCATATCACTACGATTCCCAAAAACTGACATTCGTCAATTTCGTCATTTTTATGATTTTGGAAATGCGTGTGCTTTTGATTATCCATATCGGATATGTTCAGTAATGCACTTTCAGCGTTAGATAACACCATACCTGATGTAACTGACTGATAAATATAAAGTTATTTTTAAATGCTGCCATTTGAAGTTGTACTGATATTCAATTTTAAGATGCAATTGAAATTTCAGTGTTCAGTCATTTATATCCTTGATTTGGAAGGACTCAAGTTGGATTCCACTCTGTTGACTACAGTAACAGGCATGTTACCAATTCAGTTTTTCATTTTCTGTATGCTTGGTAACTGAAATGAAGAAAGGCCAGTGCTGAAAATTTCCGTCCGGTTAGGTGATAAATTCTTTTAGAATGCAGCAGCAAGGGTGATTGATAAGGTCATAGAGGAAGTAAAATATTGAGATGAAAATTGCTGCCGAAGTACGAATTTTAATCAGTATTCCGATAGCAAGGGGTTCAATTTAGAANCATAGAGGAAGTAAAATATTGAGATGAAAATTGCTGCCGAAGTACGAATTTTAATCAGTATTCCGATAGCAAGGGGTTCAATTTAGAAATTGCAAAAATTTAAGGACCATATCGAATATTATGGACGCTCGTTTACACCAATTATCCGGAATGGGTGGATCGTATGATTATTGTGAATTCACCCACTTTTATATCTGTTCTGTGGAAAGCCATAAGTCCGTTGATACCAGAGAGAACTCGGAACAAGGTTCGAATTGTTTCGACTCAAGAGGATTCCATCAACGAATTGAAAAAGGTTTCTGCTATTATATGTCTGAGATACTGCGGATAATTCGAATAGTTTTTATCATTATTCCCATCACAATATCATCACAGAAATCGTCAGTATCGTTAATCCGTTTCTCATAGGCAAGTTTTTGGGTAGAGTTCGCCTTTTATGATGAATATAGCTAGTAGTACCATAACCACTCTCAAACATCGTCAAAATCACAATCAACATAATGGACAAATATAATTTCTTTTAAAGTGTGCAATTTTAGTGCTGCGACATGAAATACGTACCAAAACATTGGGGTGGGGAATTGATTGATAACAACGGTGACCCGATGTGCAGGTAAACATCATTTTCACATAATTTATTGCTGCTTTTTGATCTTTGATTCGTCGGAGTTGGTTTGGTTTGTAACATAAATTTTGTGTTTTTTGATGCATTATCTCAGTTGCTCGTGCTTCGGTTCATATTGTTCCATATTTTGCTTGTTCATTCGCTTGTTTACTTACGTCCTCAACGAGTTATTTTGTTCGAAAATTCTGACAATGAGCTTTTTTTTGTAGGGATCGACTGATAATTCCAACGGATACAATACC